AACAAGTCCATGTTTAGATTTAAAAGCTCCACTGACTGCTGAAGACAACTGATGAAAAATATCCATACCAAAGCACAGGAATGTGAAATTTCAGAATATCAGGGACAAAGTAAAGATCCTCAACTCTTCCTTGCATAGGAATAGCACATTCACAAAGCATCAGGACATTACTAATTTATCCATGGAAACACTGGAAGCTAAAAGATACTAGAACAATGCCTTAGAAATTCTGAGGAACTTGTGGGCAAATCAGAATCATATGCCTATACTACCAACCAAATTCAAAGAGAAAAAAGTATTTAAACACTCACAGATTCAAAACTTTAGCATTCATTCTTTATTTCTGGAAGATTCTGCAGGATAGGATCTGGGAAAATAAAAGTTAAACCAGGAAAGGATACAGAGAATCTGGAAAACCAGGAACTAATAAAAGAAACCAGGTGTTACTGAAAAGATCCCAGGATCCCAGATACTATCCCAGATCTCAGCATAGAGAATAATCAAATCCTGAAAGCAGGGGAAAAAAGTAGAACTCCAGAAAGGAGAGCGAGATCTTTAAAAAGCAAAAGCAATCTTACCAGTACAATTGTACAGGAAAAGAAATGAAATTAATATTATCTAGAAATGTGTAGAATGAAATGAGTTACTTTATAATTGATGAGAATAGTCCCTTAAAACAACAACAATAATAATAATATATAACTTATACTGGGAGCCGTAGAGTTGTTCGTATATATGAATGTATGTGTGTCTTGTCCAGAACTGCATCAATGTTAAATTTATTTTTACCATAGAAGGATTCTAAAACATTATGCCAGTATCTAAAACAGAAGGAACAATGTACTTGCTATTTGGAAATACAAATGAAAAGGAGAAGAAAAAGCTTAGCAGAGGTTTAAGTAGCTACTTTTGGGTTGTACACACATCGGGTTGAGGAGCGGCAAGGGGAAGCTGGCAAGGGTATGACTGCTGCCTTTATAATCTTTAGGACCTTTGGTGCATTACTGAATAAAGTTGATAAAAATATTTCTCAAGCAAAGTAGGTAGATTATAATCTAGTCACACAGCTTCCACCTAGGATCACGTTGTTCCTGTGTGTGTTTAGAACTGTTTAGCACTGATTCTGGTCAAGATTATCTGTCAACCACACTTT